TGCCCTCATGGAAAAGATATCATAGGAGTGAAATGGATATATAAAACAAAGCTTAATCCTGATGGAACTATACAAAAGCACAAGGCAAGATTAGTCGCCAAAGGCTACTCACAACAACCAGGAATAGACTACAATGAGACATTTGCTCCAGTTCCTCGCTTAGATACAATTAGAGTTTTAATAGCTCTTGTAGCACAAAAAGGATGGAACATCTATCAATTGGATGTCAAGTCAGCCTTTCTAAATGGGGTGCTCGAAGAAGAGATTTATATTGAGCAACCATAGGGCTTCATCAACGAAGGCAATGAAGGAAAAGTACTAAGACTTAGAAAAACATTATACGGCCTGAAGCAAGCTCCTCGAGCATGGTATATCAAGATTAATAAATACTTCATCGATCAAGGATTCAGGAGGAGCAAAAGTGAGTCCACACTATATATTAAGGCACAAGGTCAGTACCATCTCATTTTTCTTTATATGTAGATGATCTTATCTATACATGAAACAATATAGAGATGATGATAGAATTTAAAGAAGACATGATGAAGAAATTTGAAATGACCGACCTTGGCTTGTTGAACTATTTCCTCGGTATAGAGGTGAAACAACAAAAAGAAGGTATATTTATCTCTCAAAAGAAATATATTGAAGCTCTACTAAAGAAGTTCAAGATGAATGATTGTAAACCTGTCACTACTCCGTTGGTGGTCAACGAGAAGTTACAAAAAGATGATGGAGCACAAGAGGCAGATGCATTACGTTATAGAAGCTTAATTGGAAGTCTTCTCTATCTCACAGCCACACGACCAGACATTATGTATGCTACAAGTCTTCTATCAAGATTCATGCAATATCCAAGTCATATTTATTATGGAGTAGGAAAAAGAATTTTAAGATATCTACAAGGCACAAAGGAGTTTGGTATATGGTACAAAACCATGACTAACTCAAGGATGATTGGTTACACAAATAGTGATTGGGTAGGATCAATGGACGAAATGAAGAGTACGTCAGGATATGCTTTCTCACTAGGATCAGGTATTTTATCTTGGGCATCAAAGAAGCAAGCAACCGTGGCACAATCAACAACAGAAGCAGAGTATGTAGCAACTGCTAAAACCACGAGTCAAGCAATATGGCTACGAAGAATACTTGAAGAAATGGGTGAACCACAAGATGGACCGATTATTATTTATTGCGATAACAAATCGTCAATAGCAATAGCAAAAAATCCAGTTCATCATCAAAGTACAAAACATATAGCCATTAAATATCACTTCATTCGAGATGAAGAGACAACTAAACAAATTCGACTCGTTGCCCAACAAAAGACCAAATTGTAGATATATTTACAAAGGCATTACCAAGACCAAGATTTGAACTACTGCGTACAATGCGTGGAGTTACCGAATTTGTATTAAGGAGGAGTATTAAAGTGTAATGCAAATTCTAGAAAAATGTAGAAACTCCTAAGATAGAAGAAAAGAAATGTAACACAAGTTCAAGAATATTGTAGAAAAGTGTAAGATAGGAAGAAAAATCAAGAATATTCTACATAGGTAAAAATCTAGAACATTCCACATAAGTTGTGGCTAACATGTTCTAAAATAATCTATGGGTCTATAAATACCCATGAACTCTACCATTTGATGCATGCAGACAACATCTACCATTTGTATGAAGCCAACATCTACTATAACTAAAGACAACTACAACATTTCTTCCAACTACTACTTTCATATTCAACTATCTCTACATTTTCTCTATCGCATCAACTATTCCTTTCACAACCTCAAAATACCAACACCAACCGAGTTTAATAATACAATACCGTGTATTAGAATTTTAAGTTTTAAAAATAAATATAATTAAAATATTATCACTTTAAGTAGTAAAGTAGTTTTTATTTTCTGTGGGTGTGAAAATCACCATCCTAATTTAAGTTTGAATCCAACTTGATGAAGAATTACTTTGACTAAGATTGAAGAAAAACATGTCTGAAAATTGGGTCGAATGTTAGATCATTCTATGTCATAAAATACTACACACAAGGTAAACCGGAATATAATAAAGCAGAAGTAAATGTTGTCATGTAGGATTATGTTTACCTAGCGTTGGGCAGATTGTGTTATCTTAATCCTGTGTGAAACAAAGTTAGTACTTAAATATTTGATTAAATTTAAATTCACACTTTTGTAATTTATTAAAATTGAAAAATAAGATAAAATGAAAAACAGAAAAATGAATAGTACTTGTGGTTTCCTAAAACATAAAAGCTTAAATATC